CAGGAGAGTCGGGCCGGACGAGAGGGCAGGACAGGGAAAGGGGGGGTACCCCCCTCTCTCTCCTGCATGGTCTGGCTGGCGTAATTCTGCTCAGTGCCCTTGTGGGCCCGCTCTCTTTTCCTTTGCCTCTCGCGCCTTTCCTGCTTCCGGCTGTGCCCGCTGGGCGTGATTTGTGGACCTCGGGGCCTGAGTCGGCAGCCGCTCTGTTCACACGAACGCTAGAGCCACGACGCTCCAGCTCACCATTCAAGGGGGTTGCGAACTCTGCTGCATGCAGCTGGTTTCCGCCACGCCGCTGGGCCCATTCCTTGATATACGGGCGCCTCCCGGCGCCAGGAGGCGCCAGGAAAATCAGCTGCGTGAGCTGATTCTCTACCCTGCCCTTGGCCATACTACCGTTTAGGAGGGGTCGGAGGTTCCCGCGCCAGGTCGCGCGTAAGCGCCCTCGTCTCCAATGTAGCGTGCCGCGCTGGCGGCCCGCGTACGCTGCCGCGTGAGGTCGCTGTGCCATCTCGCGCAAGACCCTTTTTTGTCGTCGCTCACGTGTCGAAGTGGAGCTGTCCTCCATCTTTCAGAGGAGCAGGAGGCCCAAGTTTTCCAGGATTCCCTTCCAAGGTTTCTGATGACCACGACTTCCAAGAGTCATTTTGCCTCAAGGGACCGGCTCAAAGCGCCCCGTGAACATCACCTGGACTGTCATCGGCGTCGATCTGCCCCCGCCGCGCCCATGGCTGCCTTCGCCGAGATGCTCGGCGGCTTCCTCCTGGGCCCCGGCGGCGAGGTCACCGAGACCGTCGCGGCCCTCTCGGGCAAGGGCGCCGTCGCGCTCTACTTCAGCGCGCACTGGTGCCCGCCGTGCCGCGGCTTCACGCCCCAGCTCGCCGAGTGGTACAAGAGGGACCTGCAGGCCAAGGGCCTGGAGGTGGTCTTCGTGTCCTCCGACAGGGACGAGGCCTCGTTCAAGGAGTACTTCGCCGGCCAGCCCTGGATGGCTCTGCCCTACGGGGAGCGCGGTGCCAAGGAGAAGCTGTCCAAGATGTGCAAAGTGAAAGGCATCCCCTCGCTGGTGATCCTGGACTCCGACGGGAAGGTCATCACGACGGAAGGCCGAGATGCCGTCAGCGAGGACCCGACCGGCGCGGAGCTCCCGTGGAGGCCGAGGCCAGTGAAGGAGCTCCTGGCCGAGGCGAAGCTCGTCGGGCCCGCAGGCGAGTTGACGGTGCAGCAGGCGGTGCAGGAGAAGAAGGCGCTCGCGCTCTACTTCAGCGCGCACTGGTGCCCGCCGTGCCGCGGCTTCACGCCCAAGCTCGCCAACTGGTACAGGGAGGACCTGCAGGCCAAGGGCCTGGAGGTGGTCTTCGTCTCCTCCGACAAGGACGAGGCCTCGTTCAAGGAGTACTTCGCCGAGCAGCCCTGGCTGGCGCTGAGCTACGCCGACAGGAGTCTGCAGAAGAAGTTAAACAGGGCCCTGAAGGTGGGGGGCATCCCGACCCTGGTCATCCTGGACGCGGACTTGAACGTGGTCACGACCGATGGTCGCGGCGCCGTCGCAGCCGACCCCACGGGGGCCGCGATGCCCTGGTACCCGAAGCCCGTGAAGCAGCTCGCGGACGGCCCGGGAGACATCAACGAGGTGCCAACGCTGCTGATCTTCTGCGAGTCCAGCGACGCCGCGGGGGTGGACGCCCTGGCGCAGGTTCGGGGGTGGACAGAACCCCCTCCCTGACACGTTGATTAGTGAATTGTCCGTCTTCGGTTCTCGAGAGGGCGCCGCGGCCGTCATTTTCCAGGCTCGCGCCCGCCTGGTTGGGGTCCGAGGTCGTTTTCGCTGAACCACGTTTTACAGGCGGCCCAGATTAGCAGGTCGACCCTGCCAGAGATCAAGAGTACCATTGTGTCCTGTGTCTTGCGACCCATGCCTCCTGCATTTCTGTGGCAACGTGGCACTCGGAAGGGTCTTGTGTCCTCTCGCGTGTCCTGTCCAATGAAGTCCGACTGTACTAAAGAGGGTCCTGTCCGTTCCCGACAGGCCCTCGAGCCCCTGGCGGCGAAGCACACCGAGCGGGCGAGGGCGGCCGGCCGGGACCCGGACTTCTGCTTCATGCTGGCGGCAGCGGGGGCGGAGCTCGCCCCGAGAGTCCGCGGCATGCTGGGCCTCCTGGAGGCACCCGGCGCCGAGGCGGCTCCGGGGCCGCGGAGGAAAAGCGGTCCTGGGGTCGAGGTCTCCTCCTCCTCCTCTTCCTCCTCTTCCTCCTTCCTCCATCCTCCTTCCTCCATCCTCCTTCTTTCTTCTCCCTCCTTCCTCCTCCTCCTCCTCCTCCTCCTCATCCTCCTCCCGAGGCGGCTCCGCGTATGGCCCTCATCGACATCCCAGACGAGGGCGGCTACTACCTCGCGGCAGAGGGCTCTGAGGTCACCGCCGCCTCCGTGGAGCGCTTCCTCGACGACTACAAGACGGGGGCGCTGGAGCGGAAGCAGCTGAAGTGACCGGCGCCGGAGCCGCGTCCCGACATTCGAGAGAGCGCGCCGCCCCGACGTGTACAGTGTTGGGCGCGCCGCGTGCTGGACAGATGTGACTTAGCACTGATGGTTTCGTTGCACTCCTTTCTCGCGAAAATGATTCACTGCGTGGAGTTCCCCATGTGTGCATCCACCAGCACGGGCCTGTCCGCCGTGAGCGTCTGGGCGCAAGAGCTTTCAGATTCAAAGGGCTTGAGTGTTGACGGTCTGAGGCGGAGTGTGAGTGAGTCTCAGTAGTACGAGCGCGTCTCTGCGCATGAGCCTGGGGTGTCCTGGGGCCTCCTGAAACCTCCTGGGGCCTCCTGGGGCCTCCTGGAGCCTCTTGGAGCCTCCTGGGGCCTCGTGTTGCCTCCTGGGGCCTCCTGGAGTCTCCTGGAGCCTCCTGGGGCCTCCTGGGGAGGATTCGTGCCCCAGGAGAGGCCCAATCTATAGGAACAGACGTACATAAAACATTGCGGATTGGAGCCGCAGGAGAAGGACAATCTATAGGAACACACGTAAGATACCAAGGACTCGTGCCCCGGGAGAGGCCCAATCTATAGGAACATACGTAAAACATTCAGGGTCGGATACACAGGGGAATGACATAGAAACATACGTAAATCACATAAAGGATTCGTGCTCCAGGGGGTCTTAATCTACAGGAGCATATGTACATCACATGGGACTCGAGCCATTCCTGTGGCTTCTAGGCTTACTGCTCCTGGGGCCTCTTGGGGCATCCTGGTGCCCTGAGGGGCCTCCTGGTGCCTCCTGGCACTTCCTGTGGCCTCCTTGGGCCTCCTGTAGCCTCCTGTGGCCTCCTGGAGCATCCTGGAGCCTCCTGAGGCCCCCTGGAGCTTCCTGGGGCCTCCCAGAGCCTCTTGGGGTATCATGTGGCCTCTTGAATCTTCCTGTGGCTTCCTGATGCCTCCTGGGACCTCCTGCTGCCTCCTGGGGCCTCCCGGAGCCTGCTGGAGCCTTCTATGGCATCCTTGGGAGGATCCGTGCCCACGAGTCTGGCCACCCAAACATGCAAACCGATCGAGACATCCTCGAAATCTGGCCCCATTTGGGGGCGACAATGAACGCCTCGCTCGAGACATCCTCCACATCTGCTTTGAAATCGGAGGATGTTGAGCCAGGAAAAAGGTAAACCGCTCGAGAGGTCCCCGCCAGTATGGCGCAAACGGAGGAATGCAATACCCCCTGGCGGCTCCCCCTTGGGGGTGCCGAAACCCGCGCCTCGCTCGAGACATCCTCGAACCTGGCAGCCCAAATAGACAAACCGATCGAGACATCCTCAAACTCTGGCCCCACTTGGGGGCGAACATGAACCGCCTCGCTCGGGACACCCTCCACACTTGCTTCGAACTTGGAGGATGTTGAGCCAGGAAACTGGCAAACCGCTCGAGACGTCCCCGCCATCATGGCGCGAACGGAGGAGTGCAATAATTACCCTCTGCCGTCTCTCCCCTTGGGGGTGCTGAAACCTGGGCCTCCCTCGAGACATCCTCAGAATTTGCACCGCCATCATCATCATCATCATCATCATCATCATCATCATCATCATCATCATCATCATCATCAGCATCAGCATCAGCATCAGCATCATCATCATCATCATCATAATCATAATCATCATCATCATCATCGTCATCGTCATCGTCATCGTCATCGTCATCGTCATCGTCATCGTCACCGTCATCATCATCATCACCATCACCATCATCATCATCATTATCATCACCATCATCATCATCGTCATCATCATCATCAGCATCATCATCAGTAACAGCATTATTATCATTATCATCATGATCACCATCAGGATCATCATCAGCATCACCAGCATCATCATCAACATCAACATCAATATCAATGGTATCATCATCAGCGCCATCATCATCAGTATCGTCATCAATAGCAATCTCACCGTCATAATCAACATTATAAGCATCATCATCATCAGCAGCACCATCAGTATCATCATCATCATCATCATCATCCTCCTCCTCATCATCATCACCATCAGCATCATCATCATCATCATCAACATCATCATGTATGGGTATGAGCAAATCTGAGTATGAGGGAATCTACGTAGGAGGAGACGAGGAAAAGGAGAAGAGAAGGAGGAGAGGGAGTAGGAGGCGTCCAAGTTGTTGTTCATTGCGTGGAGCTCCCCATATTCGCATCCATGCACATCTAGTAGTATCAGTGCGCCTCTGCGCATGAGACTGGGGCCTCCTGGGGCCTCTTGAAACCTGCTGGGGCTTCCTGGTGCCTCCTGGAGTCTCTTGGGGCCTCCTGGGGCCAAATGGGGCTTTCTGGCGCCTCCTAAGGCCTCCTGGAGCCTCGTGTAGCCTCCTGGGGCCTCCAGGAGCCTCCTGGAGCCTCCTGGGGCCTCCTGGGGTGGATTCGTGCCCCAGGAGAGGCCCAATCTATAGGAACACGTACAACACTTTGGATTGAAGCCACAGGAGATGGGCAATCTACAGGAACACGCGTAAACCACCAGGGACTCGTGCCCCAGGGTAGACCCAATGTATAGGAACATACGTAAACGCTTAGGAGTGGATACACAGGAGAAGGGCCGTCTATATGGACATACGTAGAGCACTTGGGATTGGAGCCAGTCCTGCGGCCTTCTGAGGCCTATTGTTCCTGGGGCCTCGTGGGGGCTCCTGGAGCCTTCTGGGGGCTCCTGTTGCCTCCTGTTGCCTCCTGTCGCTTCCTGTGGCCTCCTGTGGCCTCCTGGTGCCTCCTAGTGCTTTCTGGGGCCGCCTGGAGCCTCCTGGGGCCTCCTAGTGCCTCCTGTGGTCTCCTGGGGCTTCTTGTGGTTTCCTGTGGCCTCCTGATGTCTCTTGAGACCTCCTGTTGCCTCCTGGGTCCTCCTGGAGCCTGCTGGAGCCTCATGTGTCATCCTCAGGAGGATCCGTGTCCACGAGTCTGGCCAGCAAAACAGGCCAACCGTACGAGGCATCCTCGCAATCCTGGCCACCTAGGGTGCGAAAACCATTGCCTCGCACGAGACAGCCTCCAAATCTGCTCCGAAAGCGGAGGATGTTGAGCTGGTAAGCAGGCAGACCGCATGAGGCATCCCCGCAATCTGGGCGCGAACGGAAGCCGTGATATACCTCTGGCGCCCCCCCCCCCTTTAGGAGTGCGACAACCAGCAACTTGCCCGAGACATCTTCAGACTCTGCTCTGAGCTCAGGCGAGCCTTGCCCCCCCCCCCCCCCCCCAAACAGGCAAACCCTTGGAGACATCCTCGCCATCTGGGCCCCCGCTGGGGTGCGAAAACCAGCGCCTCGCACGAGACATCCTCCAACTATGTTCCGACAGCGGATGATGTTGGGCATGCAAACAGGCAACTCGCTTGAGACATCCTTGCAATATGGCCCCTCTTGTCATCAGCACCGTCATCATCATCATCATCATCAGCATCATCATCATCATCATCATCGTCATCACCATCATCAACATTATCATCATCAGCAGCATCATCATCAGCACCATTATCATTATCAGTAGCATTACCATTATCAGTAACATAGCCTTCATCACGATCCTCATCATCAGACGCATAACCACTCATCATCATCATCATCATCAGCATCAGCATCATCATCATCATTATCATCATCATCAGCAGCAGCACCAGCATCAGCATCAGCATCGGCATCGGGATCGGCATCAGCACCAGCATCGGCATCAGCATCAGCATCACCACCAGCAACACCACCATCATCAATAGCATCATCATCATCATCATCATCATCATCATCATCATCATCATCGTCATCATCATCATCATCATCATCAGTCACCATGCTCTTATCGTCGTCAGGGGGGATGAGAACGGAGGAGTGTGTGTGTGTGTGTGTGAGGAATGTCCGCGCGGTCACAATAATAATTATTCACTGCATGGAGCTCCCTAAAATGTGCATATGTTAACATGGACGAGTTTTCGATTATACACGAGCTTGAGTATTGACGATTTGGGAGTGAATCTAATTGTGAACGAGTTGGAGTGTGAATGAGTCCTCCTTGGGGTCTCCTGGGGCCTCTTGGGGCTCACTGGCCTCCTGAGGCCTCCTGGGGCCTCCAGGAGCCTCCTTGAGCCTCCTGGGGAGGATTTGTGCCTCAAGGAGAGGTCCAAACTATAGGAACATACGCACACAAAACACTACGGGTTGGAGCCGCAGGAGGGGGGCAATCGGGCAATCTATAGGAACACACGTAAAACACCAAAGATTCGTGCCCCAGGAGAGGCCCAATATATATATATATATATATATATATATATATATATATAGGAACATACGTAACCATCTAGGAGTGGATACACAAAGGGAAGGACAATCTACATAAGCATATATAAAACACCACGGGGCCGTGCTCCATGGGGAGGCTCAATCTATAGGAGCATACGTACAACACCGGGGACTCGAGCCACTCCTGTGGCCTTATGATGCCTCCTGCTCCTGTGACCTCGTGGGGGCTCCTGGGGCCTTCGGGGCCTCCTGGTACCTCCTGGTGCTTCCTGTGGCTCCTGTGGCCTCCTGGGGCCTCCTGGTGCTTCTTGGACCTCCTGTGGCCTCCTGGGGCCGCCTGGACCCTGCAGGAGCCACCTGTGGCATCCTGAGGAGGATCCGTGCCCACGAGTCTGGCCAGCAAAATAAGCAAACCGCTCGAGACCTCCTCGCAATCTGGGCCACCAGGGGTGCGAGAATCAGCGCCTCGCTCGAGACATCCTCCAAATCTGCTCCGAAAGCGGAGGATGTTGGGCATGCAAACAGGCAAACCGCTCGAGGCATCCCCGCCATTTTGGCGCGAACGGAGGAGTGAGATACCCCCTGGCGGCTCCCCCTTGGAGGTGCTGAAACCCGCGCTTCGCTAGAGACATCTTCAGAATTTGCTCCGCAATCATCATCGTCATCATCATCATCATCATCATCATCATCATCATCATCATCATCATC